GCTACCTCTATTTTTTGGTTTTTAGGTGTCGATTAATAAAATTTTGCGTTGAAACAACAATTTTATTAAATTGTAAAAATAACAATAATTTATGCTGGGACCAATACTCTTCTTGCCTTACCGTCCACTTCTTAGGCTTTCCATTCTGGTTGGAGGGACGATGGATCCTCTTAAAAAGTCTTATGATTTTATGTTGTGTGATTATTAAGATAATCTGTGACAGATTGTAATATATTTCAATAAAGACGATAAAAAAAATAATCAACATAATTATTGTAAAACGAACAATATAATACTATATAAATAAAATATAAATATATATATATTTTTTTACGCATAGATGTATTTGAAAATACTTTATCAAAGCCGCTGAATATATTAATTTTTTTTTATTTATTTGAATGTTTGAGGCAGTGAAGTGAACTCTCCATTTTCCGATGTTTCAAATTTGCCGCTAGAAATGTGGTAACATTTTTACATAAGAATGGAAGGCTGTTCATTAATGAATCATACAATCCTAGGACATGTTACTACATATAATAATGTTTGAATATAAACTGAAATTACAGTAATAGGAACATAAGCTGAGCTTTCCATGGTATGCTCAGATTTGCGAAGATGTCCTGTATTCGAAGATATATTGAGATTAGGAGGTCAAAAAAAAAAAAAACATGGTCTTTCGGTTTCAGGCCATTCATTGTCCGAATACTGATGTGACCAGACTCTTAAATCTATGCCTGAAACAAGAACATCAGCGGCTTGGACAGTTTCTTTGCTTGCTCCAATTTTCGCGAAATAAAAAAAGCACTGTTATGAATTGTTTTGTCATTTTAACATTGATTTTTTTGTTTTTAATTTGTATGCAATAGTTACAATTTTATGAATATTTATTTATGTTATTGTTCTTTTTTTTTTTTTGTTAGAAACCATATATTTGGTGCTGCGTATGACTTTACCATTGCCAAACTTTATCTCTTCATACTTGCAAAAGTAATGCAAATTGACGCTCCTGAATTTAACTATAATCGGATTCCTCCTTCCTTATTTGCTATATTTCGCTACACAGCCTGCCATACCTTATGGAAGCGAGGAATATTACCATTCCTCATTATATAAGCCCAAGAGTATTAACCTCTAATAGAAGTACTCTGCAGATAGAAATAGTTTTGCGGCCAATAAATGCTATTAAAACTTTCCGTATTTGATGATGTATACCGTATTTCCGTATACGAGCAGAAAATGGAACGTTGAACCATTTGCAATAATGTCGGAGAATAGCAATGAGACTTGATTACAGTCACAAGGTCATTACTAATTCACTAGACCCTGTTTAACTAAACTATATTTGAACTGCGGTCAACTCAGAATAGAGAGAAACTATTCTACATTGCTGCTTAAATAGATTTGTTGTCTGAAATTTACGGCTTCATCAAGCGATGATTGCGCAAAATACTATTAAAATTAGTTATCGTTTTTAGTTTTTTTTTTTACTTTAATTTTAATTTTAAGAGTAAGCTGTTCTATGACTCAGGAATTCAGGTCTGTTGTCAATGTGGAAGTCGTGGTTTGACAGATACTTCCTGGGGCTTCTCAATAGGAGAGGGCGATTGTCGAAAGATCCATCGATAGCGCTATCTTCTGGCTCATGAACATTGATAGCGTTATCAGGCAATTCTCATCTACGCAATATTTTATGTCGATTATCGAAACAAAAACAAAAAAGAAGTATTGCTTAAGTACCTTTGACTTACTTAATAAGTCCTTGATAACAAAAAAAAATTGTTAATGTATTTTTCACCTTATGTAACCTTTTCGTTTAACATATCGCTCCTGTAAGTATTAAAATTAACAATTTTATCATGAGATGTAAATCCAAAGCATTATAGATCCTCTTCCTTACATTTATAAATATAGATTGCGCTATTTGTTAACTGATTGATAATATTTCCGCAAATACCCCTCCGTGACTCATACTATGGTTTCGTACTGAATACTTTTATAAACTGCTGTGTTGTTTTGAAAGCCAAAATTATTATTATACCTCTGCTAGTTATTAAATTATTATTATTTCCATTTCATATGATATTTATTCCGACCAATATGACAATAATTTCGCCCCACAGAATATAAAAAAGAAATGTTTTTTATTACCTTAAAAAGAAAACATTTTATTATGAACAAGACCATAATAAACGTTTAAGCTAAAAATAAATGTTAGATTAGCTAAACAATCAACTAATGTACCGAATCACACATTAACCAAATATTTTGTCATTTATTCATTGAATCATAAAGACAGGCACACATAGAGCAGACTTGTTAAGGCGGAAAAAGATCTACATGATCAGTAAAAAAAAAAAATATATTGAATAGTGTAACATTCTGTCTCTTGCATATTGGTTATAGGCAGGTAAAATCACATCCACACTACAAGTACAAAGAATATATTAAGTAAACAGAAACAAAATAATAATCAAAAAGTATATACAATAAATAAAATGAAATAACTTAAAAAAAAAAAAACAACATATACATCCCTATACACACTATTTTCAAACAGGCAAGAGAACTCCGAGGAAACCCAAACCCCAATTATGTAAAGAAAACAGGACTTTAGGAGATCCCTGCGTTATTCTCCCAACCACGTCACTGGTATAAAATCCAGCGGAGATCAGTCGAACCAAGTATTGACTGAGGTTATACTGTTTGAACTTATACCTCAATTATGATTTTGATTGAAAATTTGAGGTGGAATTCTCAGTTGCGGGATTTGCCTAATGGCCTTTTCGTACATAAAAGCTAATAGATATTTTTTTTTCGTAATTCATCCTGAAAAAGCAGAATAATCAACAAACCGCATTTGTAGACAACCTTTGGTTAATCGTCGATAATAAGTGTTGATCCTTAACTTCCATTTATTGAAATTTCATCGAACGAATAGAACTCTGGAATAAAATTTTAGCTGGAGCAACTTGCCAGTGATCAGAATTTTGTGCGCAATAAGATATTTTAGATAACCCGTATTTTATGGTGGATGGAAACAATGTACATTTTTGGAAAATACATTTTTTTTAAGATAAATAATTAGGGATAATATCAAATATTTTGTTTCAATCCAATGCTTGTGTATATCCTTTCAGGTTTTTTTTCTTGTAATTGTTTTAAAATTCCATCAAATCACGGCACACAGATTTTAAATTATGAAGTTATCCTGTAGCTTAATAGCTTCAAAAAATCTGAATAACGTTGCATCAATTCATTATCGGGAATAATATTACTTTAAAATATGATTTCATGTAATAATTTCGTCATATACTGTACCTATTCTGTTTTCAGTGGAAATAGAAAAACAGAAATACCAAAATTCCAAACTTGTAGGCATTGATGATGGCCAAGGAATGAGTATGAACTCATAAGACACTTTATATAACACAGTTGTGTCGCACCATGTTTTATAAATTCCAAAAATTATGGACATAATAGGTGAACACGCATTAAACGTATGGCAGCTATCTCCATATCTTCATTACACAATATATATATATATATATATATATATATATATATATATATATATATATATATATATATATATATATATACGTATAGATTTTATAATAATGCTGAATAAAAAGATTAATATTTTTTGGAATTTTTACATACTGCTGAACCTAAGGTATTTGTACACCATAATTGATAACCAATTTGGCACCAAGGTATGTGTGAAAGCATCCCGAATACTTTTATTTTATTCATAAACTATAGAATTATGTTTCACTGCATCCACATTGTTCGTATATATTTTATTTTATTCTTGAATATTAACAGATTTTAATAAACCTCGTCAGTAGCTTGCAGCATTACTTGGATGCTATTCGTGCTCAGCATTCCCGAGCAGCAGACGGCGCCGGTTCGAATCTCAGTTGGGTTGACTTTTATTTCGTTGCGGACCCTCAAAATAAATCTCGACCTCCTCTCACTAGAATAGATTATAGTAACCATTAAGATGACCTGATTTTCCCGCCATACTTGGAGTAAGTATGGTTGTTAAACCCAATATAGAAACATCTGTCAATGTAGGTTTTCTGCCTAAGTATTATCCGAAACATTTAATAACGTTTGGATTTCGCTGAGTGGTTTGTTTGAACTTGAAATTCAATCTGATATTTTGATTCTAGCTGAAACAAGAGATTATTTAAATTCCTTCAGTATTGATCTAGAATGAACTAACCACTTTTTCATGCTCCTACTAGTTTAGTTTTAGCCGCTTTGTGCTGATTTATCGTTGCTAAAAACATTTTTTGAAAATTAATTTAAAAATATCTCAAAAACTATCACCGCTGTCAAAAATATCACCGCAGATCAATGTTGTAGATCTCCATGAACCCTCCCTCCTCTCCCCCGACGTAATAATCATAAAATGAAGTAAGAAATAAATATAAGATTAATATCTCTCACATAACACGAAACTGAAACTTAAAACAAAAACTCATAAGACCTGTTGACCTATGCTTCTGAATTCTCGAACTAAAACACTAGTGCTCCTTTGATTCGAAAGGCTGATTTTTGGATCACTTTTTTACGATAATGCTCAACGACTGAGAACCAATGTTGAAATAGGAACAGTGTATAATTATATAAATGTCGTCCAATATATAAAGATCGGAATACATGCTAAGCAGGGACTGTTAATAGAATGAAGAACGATGGAACCCCAAAGAGACTGCTCCAAGAAAAACTATAAACTGTGTGTGGATGCACGATCCATCTTAGGAGTAAGGAACTGGAAGGCGCTGGCATCAAACCGAGAGGACTAGCAATTGATGCTATGAAAGGACTTGACTCCTCACGAGTTGTAGAGGAAGGAAGGAAGGAAGGAAGGAATCTTGTTTGATTTCTTAATTTTTTCTCGATTTTTCCCTCTTTCAAATGAAAAATTCCTTTATTAAATATGTCCATTATAATTAAGGTTTTCATAATATTATCGTGATTAATTGCTAATGGTTGATATTGCAGACGGCAGCGAAGAAACGACGATCCTTGGATCGAAGGAGCGATGGGCCAGGCTCGGCAGCAGCCTCTCCATCACTTGCCACATCAGCGTGAGGACGGGCACCTCCAGGGGAAGGCAGAGGCCTCCGAGGCTGGTCGAGTGGCTCCACAATGATGTCCCTGTATTGGTGAGTTGATATGTATATATATTCATGTTCATGTATTATGTAATAAACAATATATCATTGGATATAAACATCTTTCGATTTACTAAAAATATATAGGTTCTATGTTGATCTTTGTCATAGCTCCATACATACTTTTTTCCAATAGCTGTATTCTTCTGGTCCATTGCAATCCTCCTCTTGGAAAGTCCTTCTTTACTTCTTCTTCCCATGTAGTTGTAGGTCCGTCCTCTTCTTCGTTTGTCTTCAACTTTGGCTCTGTAAGTCCGTTAGCAGTTCTGCTATGTTCCTTCTATTAAAGTTGTTCTAATCAACACAGTCTGTTACTTAGTTCTCTTCTAATACTTCATTCGCTGTATTGATTTGACGTGATAGTGGTGTTGATGATTCGAACTCCTCTCGTCTTACCCTCAATCTGCCGGTGAAATCTTATTTCTGACGTTTGTATCTTGATTTATTTTTCTTAATTAAAGATCATGATTCTGCAGAATATCGCAGCGTGAGGAGAAATGTTGACCTAACGAAATCCACTTTAGTCCTTTTTAAAAAACCTGACTTAATCGTTCCAAACATTCTTCCTGCTGGTGTGATTCGCTAGACCACCTCCTAATCAATATAGGCATTTTCGTTTAAGTATGCTTTGATATATTTAAAGTTTTCTTCTTGTCCTATGGTTTCGCCTTCAACCATAATGAATGTGATCGTTACAATAAAAAACGTTATTATTATTATTATTATTATTATTTGTCACGGCTGACACATGAAATTTTAAGTGTAGGATAGGTTTCAAGTGTTACGCACAAGGAATCAAATATTATTTTTTCATACATTCTATTTATAAATTCAACGATACTACACATGTAATATATATTTATATTAATGTTTTTATCAGTACAACATCATTAGTATATTGCTATAATTTATTGTATATTAACATATTACTATACACATTAACACATTAAAATCTACCAACAATAATAGCTTATGAAGTTGCCTCCTGCCTCATGTGGATAATGTTACATGATAAGAAGGTTCAAGAAAATAAAATGATAAATAAATAAGCAATGAAATATAATAGTAAACGACAAGCATTACATTATATAAAGTTTTTGAATCATTATTGCAAAGCCCTTAAAAAAAAATCACTTTCTTATCGCTACGAGGTAGCAATATCTATAACATGTACCTCTTATGGATGATCGACCTATTTGAGTTTTTTTTTATATGTGGTTCATTCCTCGTGTTTATTTTACTTTTTTAATGCTTAGAGAAAATTTCCTTATAGTTTCTAAAAATATATGCGATTGTAAACTTGCTTTGTTAAATTTATTCCGTAACTTAAATTAAAATTAAAAAAAAGGTCTTAAAATTGGGTACCATACAAACACATCGAAAAAAACTCACTTTTCTATAACATTAAATGGTAAAATATCTGCACCAGTTTTAATGAATCTTCTCCTTAAAGTTTTATGGTTACAGCAATTTTCTCTCTTAAGTCTTAAGGAAATTAGATTTTTTCGCTATTTCCACTTTGGCGTACGTGGTGCTCAATTATTACAGATTTGAGATCTGAAAATAATAAAAAAATATTAAAATAATAATAATAATAATATTTGTATATTTCTTCCCTGAAAAGACAAAAAAAAAAAATAAACAGTGACAATTCAATGATACTGGAATTTCTTAAAAGAAAAACACTTCAAATCCTGGTCTTTGGTTGCAGAGATATGATAGTAACATCCCTATTGAACTTTGTAAAATGATATATATTGCTAGCCCCTTAGCTCTAGCGACATAATTGTAATGCTGCAGTTACATTGAGCGAGCTATTAATTGCTGCACTGAGGAGCGAGGAACCGTGCTAATGATACCTCAGAAAGCAGGATATGATAATTCAGAGCCGATATTAAACTCCATGAAGCCAGGGCGGGATCGCTGATGCAGCATAACTCGCAATTTAAACAGGGCTAGGGGCCGGGGGTAGACAATAAAGGGGGACCCCATGAAAGGCCGGTAATAGCGGGGGCACGAGTCAATTTTTACCGCGGTCACGTAGGCTAGGAATTCTCTCCCGGCACCCCAACTTATGTAATATGTCCCCCGGTCCCTCCGCGCACAATAGTTTCCATTCACCGAGATTGACGGGGGGGAGGAGTCGCCCTAATAACTAACCATTTACTTCTTCTGCGGGTCCCCATCAGCAGAGTGGGGTAAATATTGATGGGGTTTCTTTCGAGAGCATCCTGAGAGCGAAAGTTGGGAAAAGTTTTATCTACAGTACTAGCATTATCACTGATTAGAAATTTAGTGTAGTGATTAAATTTTGCACGACATAAAACATACGACTTATCACACTTATAAATACATATCACATGTTTAACTTTTAACCCCATACCAGACTGAAACAACTAGAAACCGCCCGACGTTTTCGACTACTGCAGCACTTACTAGACAAACGATCTAAGCTTTCAATCAATTACAAACGACTCATATATATATGATAATAATAAGACCTATTTGGACATTCGGAATTTAGCTTTGGGGCTCCACTAAACCATCGAATTCCTCTCGTATCCAATCCTTACAATCCAAAATCCTTCGTAAAATCCTCAACGCTCCTTACTTTGTCACAAATAAAATCATCCATAAAGACCTTAATGTTCCATATGTTTCCGATTTAGCTCAATCCAGATACCTATCCTTCCATAACAAACTGCAGAACCATCCGAATTCCCCTCGGGCCCTTCTAATATAGAACTTTAATTTGAGTTCTACGAATGGGTAGTTTCTCTTCATGTTGTACATGTCATGTTACCAACGTCACATTTACTTGTTGTATTTTCCATGTAATACAGTTGTAAATTTCATTAAAATAAAATATGTTTTAAAAATTAAAAAAAAACAACTTACATACTGACCTCCATAGTTGTCAACGAACTCGTTACAACCGATTCCACAACAACTTACAAAGAAATCCTAATACACTCTTAAATGACATTGCCACTACTGATATGGCAGGTAACGTCTGTAGGTGACTGAAGAGAAGCAATGAGGGACCTCCTCGCCTAATGTAGATATCACGACGCTAGGAGGAAGTGCCGCTGTTCACTGCTCCCCCTCATGTCTTTCATGACCTTATATTTTGCAATCGATCATCTCATTCAATGGTTGTCATTACCACTAAGACAGGTATTAATAAAAAAATTAAAGATAAAAAAATAATATATTGCAGGAACCGGTTACAAGCAGTTCTGCAAAATGGATTTCATAGTCAATCGGCTAGATTTTGCTAAATTTGGTTTTCATATATCACATTAACGTAAAACTTTTGTCTTATAAAATGTTATATTTAAAAAAAAAAAAAATTGGTCAATGACAAAAATCGTTGAAAATATCGAGGCTCATTTTAATAAGCCGAACTAACGAACCGTGGTAATTTTTTCTAGTCAAAACTCGTTCAATGAATATTATTATTTCCTTCAATTGAACCTTCACGGTCAGTCATGGATAACAGTCTCAAGACCGACAATCTGCACTTCAATCATAATGGTTCCTACATGTATCAGTCAGTCTGGAGTCATCTTTCCTCTATTGAAGTTGAGGCACCAGCCAGATTGAATATGACACATTCTTTATTAATTTTGATGTAGACATCATTCTTTATACCACTGAAAATCAAGAGAAAAATTAAATAATGATGATTACTTCTTAACGCCCGAAATCCTTTTTGATAACAGTTAGAAAAATATAAGTTCAACTATTTAAAAAATTAAAGGTTATATAATGCTCGAATCTTAAATATGTTGTAAATTTAAGAAAATGTCTCACAAATATTATTCATTACAGTACAAAATATATTTAAATTTTAATTTGGAGATGGTTAATAAAGAAATAGGGGTATGGAAATTTGTATTTTAAATGATAATTAGAATTGTACATTGGTTCTAAAACCTATGTAAACTAACGTACCTAATTAGGTTAGCCCCCCCTAGAAATCCGTTAGTACATCAACCTTACACCGATCAGTCTGAATGTCAAACATCACAAAGAATGTCATTCTGACTCACTATGGAGGTTCTGCTTTACAACTAACTCATTCCTTGTTATATGGTCTTCAGAGTCGTAGCTTTTAATTTATTAACGACCCTATTGTGCAAAGTAAACTCACTTTAATCACGAATATAAATTTTAAAAAATACGTAAGAAATGCTAACCTTCCTTCTACCTGGATTGTTCCAGGACAGGCCCGGCGCAGTGTTCGCCGGAGTGGACACGGAGAAGAACGGAGAGGAGCTGAGCAGCACACTTACCGTGAGCAACATCAGCCCCCAGGCTGCCGGCAAGTACACCTGCAAGCCGTACCTGTCCGGCAAATCTGCATCCGTCCTCGTCAGCATACTTGAAGGTAAGTCTTGCAGTTTTGTTTAGTTCTGTATGTTGAGAGAATGTGTAATTTTTTTTTACTTTTAAGTTTACTTATAAAGAAAATAGTTTTAATAAAACTATTTGTTGTTCCTGTGCGTATATGGTTTTCCAGGATCTTTGTAGTCCCACAGAGGTTGTTCATGGACGGCATGTTTCTGGGAAAGTAATAAATGTGCTCGTACGTCTGCTGACTCTGAGCAGCCATGATTCATGAATCTAGTCACTGTCCTTGAATCCCATCGAGTCCGTAGGAAGGACACTGATAGATTTTTGTTTTATGACTGAATAGTTTGACTTTGCACCTGAAGATCATGATTTGTAACAAAGTGAGGTTGGGTGAACCCCTCCAGACTATCTGTATTCCCTCAAGTAACATTTTTCTTCTGGAAGAAGACCTCGTCGCGCGGCAAAAGATCATGGTCTGCCAATAACACAAACACAATATGGTTCCAATTAATGATTGTTTTACTGATAACATTTCGCACAGGCTGTTATATGAGTATTTTTCTTGAAATCGAAGTTCAAACTGTTTGTCAGTTACAGATTCAAATAAAAGAACCATTACAATTAATATAAACGATAGTACTTTAGAATGTATAATTATATTATAGTTATGGTATATATAATTGTATAATCCCTAGTAATCTATACAAATTACTGAAAGCATGTCTCTTTTTTCAAATTAATTAATTTTAAATTTGCTTTATTATTATAATTTTATTTTATTTATTTTTTCCATACCTACTAACACTATTTCAAAGAATATTCATAAATTTTTTAATGATTCTGATTATTGATAAATATCGTTCAATTAATTAATACTCAATTTTTTTAACTTAATTTTTAAACTCACTCCTGTTGGGAATAGCAACACAACCAGCGAGTGTGCTGTCGGGACGAGGAGTATAGTTGGTAGGACGTTGGTAGGCATGAGGAAAAGGAGTGAATCACAGCATCCCTTCCTAACTTGATTTTATTTTTATAGTTAGTGCAGGAGATTCCTCATCCAGGTTCTTTTGAGCTTCTTCAGAGTGCCGTCGGGCATGTTGGTTGTGACCATGCATTGAATCACGGTGGCAGAATCCTAGTTGGTATGTCCGCGTAAGTTATTGTGAAATCTTTTAAAGTTATTTCCACTGTTGGCACATATAAGTATTTATGTAAAGTAATGTTACTAAAGCACCAGGAAGCCTTCGTTATAGTCCTGAAAGTTTTTGATTCAAAACTCTGTAGTTAGGTCTGTGAGTCTTTTCGGCTGTCCAATATATCTATTTTTTTTTTTTATTTCTTTATGACATTTACAACTGTATTACATAAATACATCAAGTAAATTTGGACATAATTGATATAATGACATGAATACACTTGCTGAGTAACTACCCAATGGTAGCACTCTAATGATATGACTATATTAGGAGATCACGGGGCCATCTTCTTTTCAGACGCCTCGGAGGGTTATCAGGAATTGAAGAGGAAGCAAGGTTAGAAACGAGAGGGTTGGGATGATTCTGAAGTTTATTATGGAAGGATAGGTATCTGGATTGGGCCAGATCTGAAACATAAGGAACATTAAGATCTTTATGGATAATTTTATTAGTGACAAAGTAAGGAGCATTGAGGATTTTACGAAGGATTTTGGATTGTAAGGATTGGATGCGAGAGGAATTCGATGGTTTAGTGGAGCCCCATAGCTCAACTCTGTAAGTCCAAATAGGTCTTATTATAGTCAAGTATATAAGTCTTTTGTAATTAATGGGAAGTTTAGAGCGTTTGTCTAGTAAGTGCTGAAGTAATCGGAAACGTCGAGCGGTTTCTTGTCGTTTCAGTCTAGTATGACAATATATCTATGAAGTATCATTATTAAGCTTAAAATATTTATGTAATTCATGATTATAACAAAATATGTTTGACGAATACTGACAGCATGTGAATATGCTGTTGGGAAGAATAGTAGAAGATATTGATAGGCGTGAGGGAGAGGAGAGCCCAGCTGCATCCTTTCCAATATTTTGCATTTAAGCGAAGAGATCCCTCATCCAGCTTCTTTTACGTCTCCTATGTGTAATCAGCCATGTTTATTACGGTTATACCACGCATGTGTATCTTAGTATGATCGTCTAATGTAAGTTATCATGAAATATTTTGTTGTATATGCGTAAGAGGTTGTTAACTTTTGGCATGTGAAGTTCAACCTAAAATGGTATTTGTAACGTTTCATGGAGATTTAGTTGCAGATCAAAACGTGTTTGACTTGAACGTTTTTAGTTTGCGTATGCGGGTCCTTTTGGCTTTCCCGTTTATCTCTGAATCGTTTCTTCATATAGGCTTAAGTAGGTAAATGTAAGAAGTGAGTATTGAATCAAGTGATTAATCTGATGTTAAGCGTTTTTATTTTTATATTGATATGTTAACAGGAGGGCCAGTTTTATACCGGATAGTGAAATGAACGTGCAAGAATTAAATCACACTTAATGGAAATTTCTATAAAGATTAAATTATTACTCAATTTATTATATGTCTAAAAAGCACTTCGTTCAAATATAGATGTATAACCGAGTTTCTATTCAATACTTCACATAGTATAAATTACAGTGTGAAATTGGTGATAGAAAAAAAAAATTGTTTTTGATGGTATGTTATTACTGTAGCCTATTCTCATGCCCATCTAGTATCAAGGCTACTAAAACAATTACTACATTATAAAAGGTATACTTATAAAAATTTCAAGTTAAATTGTTTCCACTACTCAAATACCGAACACTGAATTATAAAAAAAAAAGTAAATATTAATTTGAAGCTCACAGTTCTTTTTTTTTTTCATTTAAAACATACTGTACAATGAAAACAGATAGTTAGCGCCCTTACTTGGTTCCTATGTTTTGTTTTTTGTTTTGTAGAGCTGGCTAACAATTTGATAGTATAATTGGAACTAGCACCTACTAGATTGTTAGTAGATTGCACCGGGTCATTGTAGAGGACAATAAACAACACTTAACTTATCATAAAAGGGAGGCCGAAAGCTTTTTAATAGAAAACTCTCCCTCCCCTCCTCCCCTCTCTCTACAGCGTACCAAAAGCTCATAAAAAAGGATAAAAAGCTGAAGGCTAGGGCGTATAGTGTCCAGTTATCACGGAGAGCGTTAAGCCGTTTTATTGTACCTCTGACAAGCTGTAATAATAAAAATCCAGATATATATTTTTTTTCATATTATTAATACCGTGTTTCTTATGGGTAGGGTAATAGGCGTATAAAAAAAGGGAAATTTAATTTAGTCCTGGGGAAAGTTTACTGCACCTGGATAGAGCCTCTTTTCACTTAGGCAAACCTCCTCAACGCGCTCCGGTTTTAATTATAATAACAAGTTAATCCGTCTAAGGGCTGTATTATTACTTATAAGGATATTTAGTTCCTGCCTATAGCAAAGGGTCTTGCAAAGAGAATTGATTCTTTGGAAATGAATTTAACTAAGATATTTAACCTATGAGCGGTGGTATGAAATAGCAAAACTGATACTCTAAAATATTTCATACATACTCCTTAGAATCTTTTATGGTACGAAACTGTGTTGAAATTCTCCTATAAGATCCTTTTTTGAGCTATGGGGCTCCACTAAACCATCGAATTTCTCTCGTATCCAATCCTTACAATTCAAAATCCTTCGTAAAATCCTCAATGCTCCCTACTTTGTTACAAATAAAACCATCCATAATGACCTTAATGTTCCTTTTGTTTCAGATCTTTTGTTTCCAATCCAGATACCTATCCTTCCATAATAAACTTCAGAATTATCCCAACCCTCTCGTTTCTAACCTTGCTTCCTCTTCAATTCCTGATAACCCTCCGAGGCGTCTGAAAAGAAGATGGCCCCGTGATCTCCTAATGTAAACATATCATTAGAGTGCTACCATTGGATAGTTACTCAGCAAGTATTTTTCATGTCATTATATACATTATGTTCTAATTTACTAGATGTATTTATTTAATACAGTTGTAAATATCTTTAAGAAATAAAAAAATAAAATAAAATAAAAGATCCTTTTTTTTTTCTGGTTTAGCAAGAAACTTGCTGAATTTGGAATCTTCTAATGTTGAATTGGCTTGGCGTTTGTCTCCAGGATCATGAGTAAAAAACACGATTTGTCCATTTGCATTAAAAGGAACAAGATTTTAATCCGTTGAAGCCTTGAAAGGGATAGCGGCACGCGTCTTCAAGGAGTCGACGGAAGAAGACTTCCACCACTAGTCTAGAAAATGGAATATTCGCATGGAGTGTTAGATAGAGGGGGGGGGGAGTAGACGTTGATGATGACAATAAGTAAGTACGTATGAAATAAAAACAAAATGTCTTACAGCGTCATTCTTGTCCAGCCACGGACCAGTTTCGACTATGTAACCATATTTCAGCCTTTATCGAATGAACGTCTTATAAATAAACATCTATCATTATATAATGACTAATACACGAACATCATACGAAATCGTCATAATATAAAAAAGCTCACTTTACCAGCTTCAAAAATTAGACAAAGCAGGGTCCGATTAAATATTTATTCTCTTACTTCTTTTTTTTTTTAAGTTTTAATTGTTTCATTGATGTTAAATATAATAATAAAAGCTTTCTAAAATATTACTCAACGCTTTATCATTTTCAAGTGATTATAAATACAATATATCTAGCATATTCCCACACACGACTTTCTCTACCACTGTGAAACATTATTTCGCTAAGATCAGGATGTTTTAAAATATTTATTTAACATTTTTTTTTTTTCATTAAGCTATGATAACTAGAATTATTGTCAAACCAAAGTTAAGAATTAGTTGCAGGTGTCTATTATTTCCGAAAGAAAATTAAAAAAAAATAATGCAAAATCAAAACCGTACTATATCTTTGTTAATGGAACACGTTTAGGGAATTAAATTATCTTTAAAATATGTTATAATAAAATTCACCGCAAAATGCATACTTTTTGGTAAAT